GGTACGGTATCTGATCATATATGTTCCGGTATTCGAACTGATCCTATCTCATAACTTATGTATTGATCGAATCGTAACATTGTGATTACTGGTATGCAGCAAAATGCCAGTTTTTAAGTTTGGAATGTGGTCCCGTTGCTAATCGATTATCGATCGATTCAGTTTGGTGCTAGTATATTGGTTAACGTGTCCAATACTCAGGGAACACGATATAACGCGTGAAACTTTGCAATCTTTGCCAAAATGGGGTGTGTTCAGTACAGTTCAGAAGTACATGCTACTGCAGTTGATGCGTTTAACATGTTATAACAGTAAGAGATCAAAAAATAATTTGTCGAATTCTTCTCAAAGGTACTGTACTCAAGTAATAACCAGCGACCTCCTATAACTACATTCATATCTACGCGTAGATCTGTTGTCAGTCAATTGCGTGGCTTTTGTTCGAGTAGTGGATGCGCTGCGACTATCTCTATGTCGCAATCGCCGACGCACGCAGCGCGATACCGTAATCGCTGCGCATGAATGGACACAGATAAGCACGAGTTTGTCAGATCGCGTAATTGACACATAGAAAATTGATTAGCGCAGCGACAATCGGGATTAGTGGAACACTTATTAGCCGCAGTAAAGTAATGCAAAAAATTGAACTCTCACAACGATGAATTAAGATTTTTTAGAGCATTTTCTCAAAAGTGGTGTTATTTTCTGGAGATAAGTCCATCGGACATTCTTAAATCATCATAACCTTTTCATGATTAGCATTGCAAAATATACTATAGTTGAATGAAATAATATGATGAAAAATTTTTCCCGACATTTCCTTGTTAGTTCTAGCGCACACCATTCTCCACAGTTTTGCAAGTTTTATGATAGAGGAAAAAAATCCACTTTGCTAGAGGGATGTTAAAGATTTAAATTTAGGATAACTGTTTCTTCAATAAAATATTTAAATCCAAGAATATGCAGTGAGCATGTTAAGAAGCTCATATGATTCTGAAACGCTAAAAACTAGCCTCTAGCCTAAAATTAACGTAATTCCCATCAAAAATCAGTCAAATAAAATAAATTAGCAGTGTTGTTATTCAGCTCCATATCAAGTAACGGAGAAAAGATCATATTTCTCGAAGATTTTCGTAGTTGCTTATGATTGTTAGTCTAATTACCTAGTGTTGTGCCCACACGCTCATAAGGCCACTAATCAGATCAGATAGAGGATAAACGTCGGCTAATGCGCTTTAAGACCTGACGCTAATAACTCTTCGATATGACAACATTTACAACTTAATTACCTTGTAACAAAAACGTACAACTCATTTATTACTCTAACATAGATGAGTTTATTTGATCGTCTACTTAATTTACCAATTGCTAAAGTAAAAACACCGCGAAAGACTTACATGACTCGGATTTGTGTCATTGGGATTGTTGGTTATCTTTACACGTTCGAAGTTTACAGGCTGACGCATCCAATGTGCACCCGGCATGACACCATCATGATGCATGACGTTCTTAGCAATGCTACCCCCTTCACCACGGCCAGCGGCACTCCATTCACCACCTGAGAATTTGTACCTGAAAAAATGCTTATGTAAATCAAAATAGAGACCTTGATTACTACTATTAGGTTTTAGGTTTTAAGTTAAAAGCTAAAACTGTGAGTTGAGACTTTTAAGGACAGACTGCACCACAGACTGTGCGCTGAAAAAATGCCGGTGTCTTTAAAAGAAAAGGCGGACTGTGGGTATATAA